GGCCCTGAAAATTCACTCTGCGGATAGTTAAATGACCGGACTGAAGACCACATTGGGAAGAGTTATGGTCAACGATTCAAGCTCCAAATGATCTAAGGTTGTTACTGGTGTACCCCAAGGGTCAGGGTTAGTGATGTCCCCCAAGGGTCAGTGTTGTTAGTGGTGTTCCCCAAGGGTCAGTGTTGGTGGTGTCCCCCAAGGGTCAGTGTTGGTGGTGTCCCCCAAGGGTCAGTGTTGGTGGTGTCCCCCAAGGGTCAGTGTTGGTGGTGTCCCCCAAGGGTCAGTGTTGGTGGTGTCCCCCAAGGGTCAGTGTCGGGCCCCTTACTGTTTAATTTATTTATAAATGACATAGAATTGGGGATTAGAAGTCCTATTCCTGTGTTTGCGGATGACACCGAGTTATGTGGTGGAATGCAGTCCATACAGGATGGGGTTAATGTTGATAAATGTAAAGTTCTGCACTCGGGGACTCCAAACATATACGTTGTACACTTTACGGGGTGTAAAATTGGGGGAACCAATCACAGAGAAGGATCTGGGTGTCCCCGTAGCATACAATACTGACCGGGAAAGACGTGATCTACCCCGATACAGAGGAACAGGGGTACGGAGGATGTGAGGGGTACGGAGGATGTAAGGGGTGCGGAGGATTTTAGGGGTACGGAGGATGTGAGGGGTGCGGAGGATTTTAGGGGTACGGAGGATGTGAGGGGTACGGAGGCTGTGAGGGGTACGGAGGATGTGAGGGGTACGGAGGATGTGAGGGGTACGGAGGATGTGAGGGGTGCGGAGGATGTGAGGGGTGCGGAGGATTTTAGGGGTACGGAGGATGTGAGGGGTGCGGAGGATGTGAGGGGTACGGAGGATGTGAGGGGTGCGGAGGATGTGAGGGGTGCGGAGGATTTTAGGGGTACGGAGGATGTGAGGGGTGCGGAGGATTTTAGGGGTACGGAGGATGTGAGGGGTACGGAGGATGTTAGGGGTACGGAGGATGTGAGGGGTACGGAGGATGTGAGGGGTGCGGAGGATTTTAGGGGTACGGAGGATGTGAGGGGTACGGAGGATGTGAGGGGTGCGGAGGATGTGAGGGGTGCGGAGGATGTGAGGGGTACGGAGGATGTGAGGGGTGCGGAGGATGTTAGGGGTACGGAGGATGTGAGGGGTGCGGAGGATGTGAGGGGTGCGGAGGATTTTAGGGGTACGGAGGATGTGAGGGGTGCGGAGGATGTGAGGGGTACGGAGGATGTGAGGGGTGCGGAGGATGTGAGGGGTACGGAGGATGTGAGGGGTGCGGAGGATGTGAGGGGTGCGGAGGATTTTAGGGGTACGGAGGATGTGAGGGGTGCGGAGGATGTGAGGGGTGCGGAGGATTTTAGGGGTACGGAGGATGTGAGGGGTGCGGAGGATGTGAGGGGTGCGGAGGATGTTAGGGGTACGGAGGATGTGAGGGGTGCGGAGGATGTGAGGGGTGCGGAGGATTTTAGGGGTACGGAGGATGTGAGGGGTACGGAGGATGTTAGGGGTACGGAGGATGTGAGGGGTACGGAGGATGTGAGGGGTGCGGAGGATTTTAGGGGTACGGAGGATGTGAGGGGTACGGAGGATGTTAGGGGTACGGAGGATGTGAGGGGTACGGAGGATGTGAGGGGTGCGGAGGATGTGAGGGGTGCGGAGGATTTTAGGGGTACGGAGGATGTGAGGGGTGCGGAGGATTTTAGGGGTACGGAGGATGTGAGGGGTGCGGAGGATTTTAGGGGTACGGAGGATGTTAGGGGTGCGGAGGATGTGAGGGGTACGGAGGATGTGAGGGGTGCGGAGGATGTGAGGGGTGCGGAGGATTTTAGGGGTACGGAGGATGTGAGGGGTGCGGAGGATTTTAGGGGTACGGAGGATGTGAGGGGTGCGGAGGATTTTAGGGGTACGGAGGATGTGAGGGGTGCGGAGGATTTTAGGGGTACGGAGGATGTGAGAGGTGCGGAGGATTTTAGGGGTACGGAGGATGTGAGGGGTACAGAAATGCTGCAATGTGTAAAGTACAAAAAGAAAGTAAAACAACAAAATGTAAAAGGTGGAATTCTGATCCTCGGCTCCGTAACTGACTCTCTGCAATCATTCCACATCGCTGAACGCCGACTTACCTTCCAAGCCAGCGAGACATGTCCCCCTCCTACCTCTTCCTCCACTCAGGTGACCTCCTCCACTCAGGTGACCTCCTCCACTCAGGTGACCTCCTCAATCTGACCGATGTCCCCCCTCTCCACACAGACGGCAGGGAGACCGATGCTCCGCGGTCAGGAGGTTGTAGTAAAGCAGCTGCAGGTAAGACAGGTGAGGTGTGACTCCCAG